TCACTATTTATTGATGGAAAGTCTCAATCAGAAATGAGAGGTATCAAAATAAAAGAACCTGGAGGAGATAGACACAATTGCATTGAGCACAGGAAAAATTGCAAAAAAAAAACCATTTTATTGATATCCTTGGAGATAAAAAAGAAAAAATTGTTGCATCTCTAAAACAAAATCAGTATGCTGTGAAAAGGAAAATTGGAGAATGAAAGAGAGCTCTTAAATGTTTAAAATAAGGTTTTCAATTAAATTTTTTCAATAAAAGATAAACTCAAGTACATCTTCCAGGAAATGGGACAAAAGAACAAAGATGGAAAATAACAGTGTAAAGGCTTGGAGAGTCAATTCAGTATTTTCAACATTTGAAGGAGAGGCATCCTAGAGAGAGAAAAATGATTTAAATGAACATAAGGAAATTTCCTAGACCTAAAGACCATGAGTCTCCAGATTGTACCCTATATAAATATTTAAATATCCAACACAAAACCTATTATCATAAAATTTAAAATCATCGAAAATCAATTTAACATTCTAAAAGTTTTCAAAAACAGTGGGCAAATATAAAGACATGTGCATCAGATTGAATCTAGACATCTCATCAGCAACCTTGACTGCTTAAAAAGAAAAAACAATCTGAAATTCCAATGGCTAATATTTTTCATTTCGGAGTGCTAGGCACAGCTACATTGTCAATCATGGATTGATACATGTTCAGACATGCTAAGACAAGAACAACAAATTTTTTCTGGTACATCTTTTGATAACATTTCTGAAAGATCCTCCAGCAGAATTAGGGAGACTAGAATGATCAAGAATTAGGAAGACATAGTGTCCAGGAAAAGGGAGATTGAGAAAAGGAAATCAGGGAGTAACCTTACAGCTGGTTCATTATTAAAGCAACACACACAAAGAAAGTAGGAGTAGCATTTCTAGAGGGAAAAAAATGAAACTGGTGAATTATGTAATATACTGAGTGTTTAGAAAATAGTATTGGTTTTTGATAGGTCTGATGGAGTTTCCAGAAAACATTAGCATAGCTACATAGAATATTAAGCAAATTTATTTTTAAAAAGAAGCAGTTATTAACCTGAGGAAAAATTCAGTGTTGTGACCAAGAAAACTTAATGAGAGTATACCAGCTGGCTCTGCAATGAACAATATCTTTGCAGTTGTGTCAATGGAAATATTATTAATTTAACTAAAAATTGTGCAGTGATTATCTAGGGAGAGGGGGGATAAAGAACTAAATCCACATTTGCCTACAAATCAGTAAATGTAGAAAGAGCAGAATAAGCATCTATCTTAAAATATAGAAGGAAGAACAAAGAAAATGAGTTTCTCTTGAGGATGAAAAGGAGCCACTGTTTTTTCATAAGCTTTTAGTATTAGGGCTCTTTAAAACTATTTGCAGTGTCTCTTTCCTAAATATAAAATTTAATTTTAAAAGGAATAATGGTATTTAAAATGTCAAAGAAATAGAATAATTATGGATTATAGTCAACTTTTTACATTTTTGTCTTATTATTTTCTAGAGTTCCTGGAATAACTATTGCTACAGATATTATCTGTGGATTTCCTGGAGAAACAGATCAAGATTTTCAAGAAACAGTGAAACTTGTTGAAGAATACAAATTTCCAAGCCTCTTTATTAACCAATTTTACCCAAGACCAGGAACTCCTGCTGCAAAAATGGAACAAGTTCCAGCACAAGTGGTAAGATATCTATATATATTTTTTTGGTAAAGTATTATATTTAGCCATAAGCTATAAAAATGCATCTGTGTTGCGTACCTTAACACAACTGGCTCATGGTACACCCCTTAAATTACAAAAAATGGGTAGTTTTCCAAATTGGAGTCAGGGCAGGAGAGCTTGGGTGTGTTAAATAACCTTAGGCAATGAAAATATCACCTTTTTTATTCTTTTGAAGAGAAGCTCAGGTGACACTGGGAGTGGGGGGGGAATTTTAACTAATATCTGGTATTTGCTTATGTTTATAAAATAAATCTTTGGATATTTCAAAATAAGGCAACATTTAAATATCAGTGAGAAAAGGAGGCTTCATAGTTACCCTGCTTCTTAAGAGACCCTTTTCATAATTCGTTACCTACTGGGGTGGGTGGTCCCATGGTTTCCTATTTTTCCATTGGATAAATTTGATACTTGTGGTCTATCTGTCTCTCTACTTTAGGTGTGTGCTGCTTTTGCAATGAATATCAATATAATTTCATCCTTACATGTTCATAGATATATTACAGTAAAATGACTTAAGTGTGAAAGTTTGAGATCCAATAAAGGCAAACTTTCCCAGAATGCCCCAGAAATTAATAGTCTTAAATATTTAGTTTCTAGATTCATTGGCTAAAGATGGAAAAATGTAAATAATCCTAAAGAAGAAGTAGATTTTTTTTAACTGAAGATTTTCTACTTTGCCTCTAACAACAACAACAAAAATTGTACCCTGCCATTAATTTTTCTCAAATACTTTAATGATAAATACTAAAAGGAATAACCTAGAGCTTGTTATTGTTTCTCTATTATGCGTATGTGAATATCAAGTATATAACGTAGAGATTCTTATTTCAAAACAAATATATATATTTAAGTTTGTTTTTCCTAGTAATATGGAAGTCAATATCATTCTTTGTTTTCCCAAAATTTTTCTCATTTTTATTTTACAAGTTTCTGTGTATACAAGGATAGAGAATTATTTTGTGGATGATAGACCAATTTATTTTATTTCTAATTTAATCAATAAAGAGCACATTATGACACCATAGATAATTAGCTTTTCATGAACTTAAAAAAGTCAAATTAATTTGTAATTTTTATATCTTAATTTTAATTTTTATTGGGGCATAGTTTACATACAGTAAAGTTCATTCTTTTGAGTGTATATTGTTTGAATTTTGATAAATGTGTTTACTAGTTTAACTATCACCACAATCAAGATATAGAACAGTTCTTTCACCATCCCCCAAAACATCCTCTTTTACATTTTGAAGTCATTTACTCCCTCTATCCCCAGCTTTTGGCACCTGCTAATCTATTGTCCTTATATTTTACTCCGTTGTTTTTTAAACTTTACTTTAATTAAAAATTGTTTGAACTGTAACATACTTCCAGAAAAATGGACAGCTGTACATTTTTATAAAGTGAATACTTCCATGTAATCACCATTCAGATCAAGAAGTAGTAGAACATTATCAGCACCCCAGAGGTTTCCATTATGCCCTTCCCTATACGATTCTCTCCTACTCCCCAGCAGATATCACTAGACCTTTTTCTAAAACCATACATTAGTTTGACCTGTTCTTAAATTTCATATAAATAAAAGAATTCATCAGTGTTTAATCATTTGGCTTTTTTTTTTTTTTTTAACATTATTGGTGAGACTAGTCTGCTTTTGCAAGTAGCTGTAGCTTATCCATTTTCATTGCTATGTAATGTTCTATTGCATGCAAATCCCAGTTTCTTTATCCTACTGCCAATCATAGTCTGCATCTCAGGTGACTTGTGTATACATTAAAATTTGTGAAGTACTGTTCTAGTTCACTAGTCCTCTTCATCTATTTTAAATCTGATGTCAAACCCATCTATGGGATTTCCAATTTTAATTTATTTTTTACTTCTAGAATTATAATGTAATTTTTTTCATAAATTCCAGTTTTCTAGTGAAATTCTTCATATTTTTCTTTGTATTTTTTGAACATTACTCAGTTATCTTAAAGTCCATTCTGAATTCTCCAGTATCTGGACCTAACGTTGGTTTGTTTCTGTTGTTGTTTTTTCCTTGGCTTTGACCATTAGTCTTCTCTTTCCATATAACTGATCATTTCTATTAAATAAAGACCATTGTTAATTTTTTGAAATTGTTTTTCAGTTTTTCCGAGGATTGGTTTATTTCTGGTTTGCCTTACTTTTTGAGTGCAGCCTTGCGTGCTGCGCTCAAAGTGGGGAGCGTTCTGAGTTGCAGCATTTGCCAGTGTCCATAGTGTACTTTCATTGTTGCCAGATTGAAACTACCAATGTGATATTACTGAACATAGAATTGAGAAGAGATGCACACAGTCAGCTCCCATGAGTGGGTATAAAGCTGCATCCCAGATACCACTGACTAGAGCTCTTCAGGGTCTCAGTTAAAATTCTGTAGCAGTTACCAGGGATTTTCTTCATGACAGGTCTTCAACTCTAATTTTTGTCTTCTTACGAACTCATGAGAATTCGTAAGGCTCTGCGTAGTTTCTCAGCTTCTTAGCTTTTGCTTGGCTGCTCAGTCTCCCAGCCACTGATTACAAATCGATAAATGCCTGGAAGGGAAAACTGGCTCCAAATATTGAGCTTATGGACTTCCCTCCTTTGTGGAATCTTGGTCCCTCACATCTTCACTGCCTTGGTAGCTTTTCAGTGTTCAACCAGTACATTTCATAAATTGTATTTACCTTTTCTAATTGTCTTTGGCAAGATATTAGTCTGATACAAGCTAGTTTGCCTTAGCCAAAAGCAGAGCAGAACTCATTGCATCAAATCAGCTTTTAGATACTTTGTTGTTGTTGTTGTAAACATAGTCCTTTAGCATCTTTCTTACATTTTTAGACTTTAGTCACCCAATCATTGTATAGCAGAACCTTTTTTTTAAGACTTTATATTTTAGAGCAGTTTTATGTTAACAACAAGACTGAGTAGGAAATACATGGAGTTCCCATATATTTCTTGCTCACACACATGTTCAGCCTCCCCCAATTCTAACATCCTACATTGGAGTGGTACATTTGTCACATCAATGAACCTACGTTGATACATCGTTATCACCCAAAGTCCATAGTTTACATTATATTTGACTTTACATTACATTACATTTGGTGTTGTATGGTCTATGGGTTTGGACAAATGTATAAAGACATGCACCCAGCGTTGTAGTATCATATAGAATAACTTCACTGCTCTAAAAATCTTTCACTTATTTATTTCTCCCTCTTCCTTAACACTTGGAAACCACTGATATTTTTACTGTCTCCGTAGTTTTGCCTTTTCCAGAATGTCATATAGTTGGAATCATACAGTATGTAGCCTTTTCAGATTGGCTTATTACACTTAGTAATATGCATTTGAGGTCTCTCCATGTCTTTCCATGGCTCTTAAAACAACAGAAATTTATTGTCTCACAGTTTTGGAGACTAGAAGTCTAAAGGTAGGCTTCTAGTCTCTATGGGAATTCTTCCTTGCCTCTTTCTAACTTTGGTGGTTTGCTGGTAATCTTTTTCTTTTGCTTGCAGCTGCATAATTCCAATCTCTGCCTTCATTGTCACATGGTATCCCTGTGTATCTCTGTTTTCACATGGCTGTCTTCTTATGAGGACCCCAGTTATATTAGACACTTATAAGGATCTACCTACTACTCAACTAGTTATATCTGCAATGACTCCGTTTCCCAAAAAGGTGACATTTTGAGGTGAGAGGGTTAGGACTTCAATATGTTTCTTTTTAGGAAGCTATAACGCAATCCATAACAGTTCTCTCATTTCTATGACTATGCTATAGGTAAAACCTGTAACCTGGAAGAGTTTCATTTTTGTAAAGTTCAGAACCTTAAATAAAGAGAATTACATATTAATAATGAAACTTTAGAGAACTACTGTCAAACAGGATATGTGATGTGCACCGAATCATCTTTGTTCTCCTAAATTTATCAAAAATTAACAGTTGTCTACTCTACCTGTTTCAAGTAATTTATGAAGCTGCTTAGCAACTAGACGTCACTAAAATAAGACGCTGCAACACAGCGAATAGCAATTCTTTTTTATCTAATTTATTTCTCATTTCCTTGCCCAAAACAATAAACAATGAAAGTAGAATCTAACCCATTATTGAAAGAAGAGCATAATACCAATTGCTTTCAAACAGCTTTTTATTCTGGCTTTAGAATGTGTCTTAGTGGAAATATATGTGTTTTTTTTTTTTTGATATATTTTATTTCCACTGAAATCAATCCCCTAATAATGTTTTTTAATGACATAAATGACATAAAATAAATAATTTCAGTATACTTTCCCTTTCTTTATAACTACTTTTACATTAATATTGGTATTAATGTAAATAAATTCCAGTGTTTTTAATGTTTTATAGTAGAGCTGTGATCATTGAACTAAATTATGAGTTTTTCTTAATCATTTAAATCACAGAATGGATAAAGCACCATTCAGTTGAGTTTTGCATTTACATATGTGGGAGGGGTGGATTTTTTGTTAATCCTGCTAAAAAAGAATATAACCATCTTAAATTTATAATGAAAATTAATTAGGGAATACATTTTCATGAACAGGATAAACTAATTTTTTTTTGTTAACTCTTGCAAGATTATTAAATATATAAGAGATTTAATAGTGAAATCACCAAAACCAAATGAGACTGACCTTAGACTTTTAGATGAAAGGTCAAATTTGCATGTTTATATTTTCTATTCCATTGAGTCTTCCTTCATTAGTCTTCATTAATCTTAAGTAATTCTAATAGTATGTTTAAATTGTGGCTGAGATTCTTAGTCTGCCTAGAAAAGGTCGCTTAAGTTTAAAAAGTCTTTTGATTCTTAGCTATTAATTCCAGACTTTGTTTTTAAGAAAATTTTGATGAAAAATAATGGCATAATGAAATCTTTATTTTAAGAGACCAATGACTTGAAAAAAAACAAAACTTTTAAGTGACAAGAGTAGCTG